ACTAACGAAATGGATAACTGAACATTTAAATCACTTTTACCTTTATTGAAGTGTCTTGTTGGCATATGCAAAACAGCAAGTGAGGCTTAAATATGACACTTTTATCAACTCTACGGCTTATTTATCTATCACAGTTCATCTAATATGGCATAATAAACAATATTAATAACATAGAAACATGATATATACTCTAGAATGAATAACATATGTCATTATGTTTGTGGCGTGTGATGGTGGTGGTTGTGGTGTTGTTGTTGGGTTTATAAGGGCCCCTGAGAGCATAAGCCGTACTTGCATAAGAACATAAGAAAGAAGGAACACTGCAACAGGCCTACTGGCCCATACGAGGCAGGTCCAAGTCTCCTACCGGCTTAAGCCAATGCCCCAACCTAGTCAGGTCAGGTCACATTCACTTAAGGAAGGAACACGGCAACTGACCTAGTAGCACAAACTAATCAGGTCCAACTCACACCTACCCACACCCACTCATGTATTTATCTAACCTATTTTTAAAACTACACAACGTTTTAGCCTCAATAACTGTACTTGGGGGTTTGTTCCACGCATCCACAACCAGTGCTTTACTATATCCTTTCTGAATTTGAATTTTTCCAACTTAAAATCATTGCTACGAGTCCTATCTAGGCTAGATATTTTCAGCACGTTATTTACATCCCCTTTATTTATTCCTGTCTTCCATTTGTACACCTCAATCATATCCCCCCTAATTCTACGCCTTTCTAGAGTGCAGATTCAGGGTCCTCAGTCTATCCTCATAGGGACGATTTCTGATACATGGGATCAACTTTATCATCCTCCTTTGTATATTTTCCAGAGCATTTATATCCATTCTGTAATGCGGCTTATGCTCTTATGCTACCACCACCATTCACACAATGTACGTATGTAATTTATAAATAAGAATTATTTACACTTTAATTTATAAATAAGAAATATATACACTTTATAAATAAGAAATATTTACACTTACTGTTCCTTGGAGGAGATGCTGGCATTGGTTTAGGGTGGTAGAAGATAGGCAGGGCAGCAGTGTTTTCAGTAGCCCTGTATACCTCTAACAACATTGGAGGAGTTAAGTTTCATGTCGTCTTTTTCTGTCGCTTAATCTCTTAACTTACTTGCTACACTGTTAATGCTACACTTTATCGCTGGCTGGCACTATAGCCTTTATTGGCTCCTGCTGCTTTAGTATCGTACATATCGTAGAATCACTGAAAAAGGCACATTCTCCTCTCTCTCTTCCTCCTTCACTCATAGTTTTCAACAACTTCTTTCTTAAATTCCATCATGTTTCTCACTTTCTTTACCAAAGGAATTTTATTTGGGCCCATGGTTGCTTATTTCACAGTTGCACTCAATCAGTAACCACAAAAAAAAAAATGGATTATAGCGAAATGTTTGGGTGAATGAACAGAGGCTTCCTCACTTGCCCAGAGACTCAGCCAGACTGATGTGAGCGGCTGGTGGCGGAACGGCCAATAGCCGATAGAAAGCCGCTTGTTTTGGGCAAATTAGGTTAGTTTTGTCATGGGATGCAACCCACACCGGTTGACTAACACCCAGGTACCCATTTTACTGACGGGTGAACATAGGTAACCGGTGTAAGGAAACACGCCCAATGTTTAAACTTTTGCTGGGAATTGAACCTGGACCTTCAGCGTGTGAAGCAAGAGCTTTTGCCACCAGAAAGGTGTCTGATATCACAACGTCCAGTCTGGTACCATGACTTGAAATTATGTGAGAATGATGTCTGACCTCCCCTCATCTCGAGCGCTGTGGAATGAGGGAGGGGTCATGATCCCCTTGCTCCTTGCTTCTTGCAGCACCAGTGTTACTGGTGTTGCAAGAAGGCTATCAGCAAAGTCTTTGATGGGCATTAGAAAATAGCATGGTGTTCATTGGTAATAAATTACAACTGCTCAGATATGGTAAATATGAGAAAATCAAAAGGGGCACTGGATATATTAAACAAGAGGACCATCTATTAAAATGAAGCAACGATATGAAAGATCTGGGTGTAATGTCAGCTGACCTATTATTTAGAAAGCAGGATCAGGTAAATATTGCAAAAGCTAGGGAAGTGATGGAATGGATAATGAAAGCTTTCAAAACAAAAGAAATACAGTGGAACCTCGGGTTACGAACGCCCCACCATGCGAACTTTTCAGGATATGAACTGTCGTCCAGTCGATTTTTTGCTTCAGGATACAAAAGAAATTTCAGGATGCGAACTTCCCCTTTCTTTGCAAAGGTTACAGTGTCTGTTTACGTATCATAATATGACTGGAGCAAAGAAAGCCACTATAATGCCGAGGCATTTCGGGCAGAATTGCCTACTTAAGACTACTTAAGTCTTGACAGGTGCAGAGTGTACCAGTTGTAGTTACCAATGTTTTGCTGATAGTGGCACCAACTACTGGCAGCCTTTTGAAGTTCCTCCTTACTGTTGTTATTATTATTATTACTTTTATATTGTATTATTATTATTGTTATAATAATGATTATTATTATTAGTAGTAATAATAGTAGTACATAGTTGTAGTACGTACGTATGTATGTATGTGGTGAGGGGCTCTTGATCTAGGGAATTTGATCTGTGCTCCAGGTCCCTAAATTGATAATAATAATAATGCTAATAATAATTATAATAATAATAGTACGTGCATATACGTACTGCGTACATACCACCTCCAGACAGCAGTGTCAGTCAAAACAGTGGTCACCAGTGCACATGTGCTTACGGAGTTACCCTCGCAGTGCAAGGAATTCTTATGATTTCCTTACGTTTTGTGCAGTTAATTCGCCAGATTTCTTTCTTCTGACCATGGGTCCTAAGAAAGCAAGTGCAATGGACAGTGCCGAGAAGAAAAAGAAGATGATTTGCATGGAATTAAAGCAAGAAATGATTAATAAGCACAGACTAGGTATGAGAGTTGAGGACTTAGCGAGTTGAATACAAGCGTAGCCCCTCTACTATATGTACAATACTGAAGCAGAAGGAGTCTATAAAGGCTATAGCACCAGCAGAGGGCATTACAGTAATTTCTAAGCAGTGGACCTCTGTCAATGAAAAGATGGAAAAGCTGCTGTTGACATGATTGACGGAGAAACAGCTCACAGGAGATACGTAGTGTAGTGAGATAAACAAAATTTGTACATAACAGTTCTTAAGATTATTATTATTATTATTATTATTATTATTATTATTATTATTATTATCAAGGGGAAGCGCTAAACTCGTAGGATTATACAGCGCCTGGGGGGGAGGTATTCAGGCTTAATTCGGGGAACTGGACCACAGATCCAATTCCCTAAATCAGGAGCCCCTCGCCATCATCAAGGAGCCTTCATTGAGGGGCAGTTCTTAAGAAAAGTGTGAACTCCTGACAGGATATGCCGCTCTGCATTTCTTCTCCAAGGTATGTAAATGTCGTATGTACACCAGATCTAATTCAGTTAGCCTCACAAATTCCATTTTTTCTTACAAACCTGTGACGTTTTCATAGTGAGAGTGGATTCCATCTCACATTGGTCTTCAGATGCATGATAGAACTGATGAATTGGCAAAGTCATGCCTTCAGAGAGGGAGTAGATTACAATCTTGGACTGTCAGCAGTTTAAGAACAGTAATACTAAAAGAAGTTCAACTGAATTTCATTGGCTTCAGACTGAGGGAGATTGATACCAGTCCACCTATCATCAGTATCATGCAGGAGGATCCATATGTCTTTGGTACATCCAACAAAATAAGCAGACTCTTGGATGTCACTACCACCTGGCTCTGGCTGGGTTATCAGAGTCTGAGAGGTTCAACCACCACCACCAATTGATGTAGACTGAACTATATGTAAACTTTGCCAAATGGACAGTTGTTACACCTTGTATCATTATGTGCTGGAATACAATGAAATTAATAAATTCAAAGACAAATCACTCAGAAATGTCCAAGAAATGTCAGGGTATTTTATCCACAGTGGATATACTATCAACCATTCAGGAAAATACCAAGATTTGCCCACTGTAGATAATGCATAACCATTTAGACTTTTTTTTTTTTTAACAAGCATACTTTGCTAAAATATAAGATAATATTTTTGTGATCTAATTCATGTCTGCATTGTAGCCAGATATTAACATGTAAATACATAGTTCATTACCACTGTAACTTGTTTAGCTGTCTAAACTTTGTTGCCCAGTTTCGGAACCCATTATGTGCCCCTGTAATCTTTTCACTACTGCCCACAGGATGGATATGGGGTGCATAATAAAGATATTAAACTAAAAATATTTTTTTCTCTAAAACATTGCTGGCTGCCTCTTACATATCCATGCTATTTCTTATTAATTTTTTTTTTAAATACCTTGTACATAAGAGCATAATTAATAATAGGATGGATTGTTGGTCAATACTAGGCAGCCCCGTCACTCATATATTTGTCCAGTCTGTTGTTGAAGCTCCCCAAGGTACTAGCTTCAATCACTATTTGGCAGATTTTTTCCTTTTTTTTTTTTTTTCCTTTTCACAAACTTGTGTTTTATACCTTTTCTAAACTGGAATTCATCTAACTTTAATCCATTATTTTAAGGTTTTACTAGTTACAGATCCTTGGTGTGTTATTTGGAGTTAATTTATTTATGCCAATCTCCCACTTTTTTACTTGTTAGCAGTAGAGTAGCTGAAGACATCTATTGCACCATCTCCAAGCTGTTACACCTCACTCTTCAGGATATTAATCTCTCACCACTTGCTTCTGCACTAACTAAGAGACTTGTCATCTTGCTCCACGGGTATCTTTGATGAGTTTTGAGAGTCCTTTCTGCTCCTAGAGCCTGGCCGTGGGCCAGGGGGGATGGATGAGAGTGGGATTCTAGTAGATTTGTGCACAATATTTATGTACTCTCTGTAAAACTTTGTGTACTCTTTAAACACTGTACACTAATTATTAAAAATATAACTTTAATTTTGTATTTTTTTACAGCTCACGATTCACAGACTCAAAAAAGTATGAAGATGATTTTGTTGACTGTTTCAACTTGAAAGAAAGAAGGTCTGGGGAGATTTGCAATGCATGTGTACTTCTAGTGAAGCGTTGGAAGAAACTGCCAAAAGGAACAGATCGCAACTGGCATCATGTATGTTAAAATTTTTTGTATGTTGTATTTAATGTTAGCCACTATACTGCATTCAGCACATTTATGCCTCAGTGAGTAATACAAGCACCTGACCCATTTAGCATAGGCTATCTTTAATTCTGAATTAAATTAGCACTGTATTGCTTAATTGATCATGAGTACAGATTTTGTTATATAAGTAATCAACCACTGAAGGTACAGGTACAGTTGTATTGTGCCAAAGTAGATAGCAACTGTACCAAAATGTAAAGAAATGCTAATGAATAATATGTCAGGGTGGATCATCACACAATCTAGTATCAGACAACTACTGAAGAATCTAGTATGTCAGAGTAAACAGTTATATGTTGAAAGTAATGTCAAAGTAGACATCTATCAAAGGTAGTGTGAAGTTTATACCTATTAACCCTTTCACTGACCAAAGCCCCAAAATTAAAATTGCTCTCAGTGTCCATATTTAAAAAAAAAAAAATCAATTAAAAGAGTACATTTTTCTGGTGGTAATGAAAAAATGGAGTTCCGTTGGTGCCTATCAAGATACGAAGGCATGAAATTGAAAGCTGATGACCCACTAATGGCAACATATGCAGTTACCATGTGCTCCTTGTTTCTATTTTATTATTTTGTGCTTTTTTCTGGGGTTTTCTAGTTTTTTGTATTTTCCAGTAACTTTTTTGGCCCATGAGACTCATATCATGCACTATGTACGTATATCCACCTGTTGTATGCAACACAACTCCACTAATAGTGTTATCAGCACATTGTTTACAAAACATGTTTACACAACAATGTAAACACAGACAGGTATAAATGTTTCACATTACCACTGTTCTAACATTTATGTACATATATACAGACAGTGGTCATGTTTCTAGCCCTTTGAGTGTTTCAGTCATACATATACGTCTTATGAGCCAATGTGTTTGGCATATATATTACTCAAAAATTCAAATCAAGCGGGAGAAAGCTGGTAGGCCCACATGTGAGAGAATGGGTCTGTGTGGTCAGTGTGTGCAGTATAAAAAAATCCTGCAGCAAGCAGTGCATAATGAGAAAAAAAAAATCTGACCGTGTTTTTGGATAAAAAAAAAATCTGACCGTGTTTTTGGATTAAAACGCCGACTTTGAGGTGTATTTTCGTATAGTTTTTATGGTTTTATTCTCATTTTCATAGTCACATTTGATAGAATGGAAAACATATTATAGAAATGGAGGTGATTTTGATTGGTTTTACTATGAAAAGGACCTTGAAATGGAGCTCAAAGTAGGGGAAATGTTTGATTTTTGCCGATGTTCAAGAGTAAACAAATAATGTCATTGTCCAATAAATGTCCAACTAGCCATTCTTATATGCAGTCATGAATGGGTTGATATTATTTATACAATTATTACAATATTGCAGTAGTCTGCATAACAGTAAATCTTCTATTTTTTTGTTTGAATAAAAATTCAAAATAGAAAGCAAGAATATTATCAGAAGGGCCTGGAGATGTGACTGATGAACAAAGAAAACATTATTTTAAAGCCAGGAATGTCTGCATTGTTCATTCTGGACCTTGTTATGAAATTGGCATATTTTTTAATTTACAGTGGAACCTCAAATATCGAGCTTAATCCATTCCAGGAGTTAGTTCTAAATTCGAAAAGCCTGAAAAGCAAAGCAGTATTTCCCATAAGAAATAATGGAAATAAAATTAATCCGTTCCAGAAACCCAAAAATATTCACAAAAAAATACATTTTATAGAGATTAATTATACTTTTACATACACAACAAATATAGTGTTCAATTATGTATTAATAAATTTAAATAAACATATAAAATAACATTTTACTTACCTTTATTGAAGACTGGTGATGGCATCTGGAAGATAGCGAGGAGGAGAGAGGGAGTTGGGGTTAGTGTTTGAAAGGGGAATCTCCCTCCATGAGGACTTTAGGTGAAAATATATGGTATAAAATACCGACACAATGGAAACATAAACACATATGCAGTTTAATGTGATCCTTTATTGACAACGTTTCGCCCACACAGTGGGCCTTTTCAAGTCACACACAGATCTACCTGGGGTGTGACCTGAAAAGGCCCACTGTGTGGGCAAAACGTTGTCAATAAAGGATCACATTAAACTGCATATGTGTTTATGTTTCCAGGACTTTAGGTATCAAAGCCCTCTCTGGGGTTACTTCCCTTCTGTCTTTTAATGCCACTAGGACCAGCTTGATAGTCACTGGACCCCTGTCTCACAAAATAACTGTCCACAGTCCTCTGTTTCTGGTGCCTCTAAGATTTCCCTAAAATGGGACATGCTTCTGTCACCGAACTTGTTGCAAAGATGGCTTGTTTCAGCTTGCTCAGGGTGGTACTTCTCCACAAACATTTGGACATCATTCCACTTCTGTATTATTTCCTTCTTCACATCTATGGTGTTTCTCACTTTCTTTACCACAGGGGTACCACTAGCAAGTTTCTTTGGGCCCATTGTAGCTTATTTCACAATCCCACAAGCACTAAAGATAATGAAAAAATCGTGAAACGTTTGAATGAGAGAGCAGGTTAGTGTTCGCTCAAGCATCAACAAAACCAGACTGGCTCACGGCACCTGCGTGGGGACGCAGACAGAGCAGGCTACCAGACAGGTCCGGTACCCGGCGGTTCGAAAATAGGGGCGAGTTCGATAATAGGGACAAAGTTGGTTCGAAAAAAGGGCTCTATTTTCGAAGAGTTCGATAAGCGATACGTTCGAAATTTGAGGTTCCACTGTACATGAAATTGGCCAAATTGTCAATTTCTGACCACTTTATTGGGTAGTTGAAATTGGTAAATGGGCAGTTTCTTGTACTCAATCGATAGAACAAATGGAGTTCTAAAGAAATAACTATGAGTTTGGTCGACTGAAACAATGGAATTAACCAAAAATAGGGCTCAGAGTGGGCAAAATCACCGATTCGTAAATATCGCCGAGGTCGCTAATTTTGCGAGAGCGTAATTCCATACGTTTTCCATCAAATTTCATACTTTTGGTGTCATTACCATCGGGAAAAGATTCTCTATCATTTCATAATTTTTTTTTTTTCCCCAAAATATTTTGCGATGCCAGGAGACACCTCAGGATTTGGGGTTGTGACAGTCAAAGGGTTAAGACTGGTGCAGTCTGTGGAAGTCCTTGAAGCATGTCTATACACAGCGGTGTTTTACACTGCAGGTGCTCCTTGGCTTATGATGGGGTTACGTTCTGATGAACCCATTGTACATTGAAAATATCTAAAGTTGAATATGTGATAAATAAATAAATAACTGCCCTGACTGAATTAGTAAATAAACAGATAATTAGTGTAACTAAATACTGGTATTGAAAAGTAAATAAAAGAATACAAGTTATCCTATCTGTAAGTGTACAGTACAAAACAAAAGCTTTACAATACATGTATTGATATGTTGTACAGGTCCTCACCATTAATGTAGTCAGCTGAAAGCACACTGGGCCAGAAGGATATTGTGAAGCATAGAACTAACATTAATTGCTGAAAGATGATGCTCGGGAGGAAGGCATTGGGTCATTGACACTTGCTGGTAGTTCAGGAACAGGTGCAGACATCTTCAGGAAGATGTCAGTTTGCTTCTTTTCATTATAAATTTCTTATAGCAAGCATATCACTAACCTGGGAATACATCAAAATTTAAAGTTTGATGACTACTGAATGTGCATTACTATTGTACCATTGTAGTTGGAATATCGTAGGTCAAACCATCCCAAAGTGAGGTGCATCAGTACGTATAAAGTGTGTCTGCACTTTGGTGGGTGCCTTCTTATGTGTGCATAGACATATTTTGAGCCCATTTCTTCTCTTCTATAGCAGGAAGTGATAACAAAACGTCAAATGAGAGGGTATTCGGTGGTCATCACGCAGTGGTATTTCCTAAGCATCTTTTTTGATCATTATATGTTGAAAATCAAAGAACTTATTAATAGTTCCATAATTCTCGCTACTGGAGCTGCTGTTGGGGAATAAAACTTTAAGGTCAATTTGCCTGGGAGTGAGGCCTTTGCTTCCATGTGGCATGGTGAACAAGATGTACTAAATATGGCATCCCCTCAGTTCACTGCAGGGGCCTCTATTTTTTGTTTCTCATGTGCCAAATTTAAAGCCCCTGGAATTTGTGTGTTGATCTGCACAAAGAACCCTAGCATCAGTAACATAGATCTGCATGACTACCACTGAAAGGGTTAGCCCTTAACCCTTTGACTGTTTCAGTCGTATATATACGTCTTACGCGCCACTGTTTCTGACGTATTTATACGTGTAAATTCTAGCGGCTTCAAATCAAGCGGGGGAAAGCTGGTAGGCCCACATGTGACAGAATGGGTCTGTGGTCAATGTGCACCACAAAAAAAAACCTGCAGCACACAGTGCGTAATGAGAAAAAACAAAACTGACCGTTTTTTTGGATTAAAACGCCGACTTTGAGGTGTATTTTTGTCTAGTATTTATCGTTGTATTCTCGTTTTCATGGTTTCGGGTGATAAAATGGAAAACATATTATAGAGAGATGATTTTGATTACTTTCACGAAAAGGACCTTGAAATTGAGCTCAAAGTAGCGGAAATGTTCGATTTTTACCAATGTTCAGGAGTAAGCAAATCACACCACACAGCCAGTACACTTCAACTGGGGAGTCTTATATTCTTTCACTAGTGCACTGATATTATTTATACCATTTTTACAATAATGCAGTAGTCTGCATAACAGTAAATTTTGTATTTTTTGTATGAATAAAAAATCAAAATAGAAAGCAATAGTAATATGAGAGGGGCCTAGAGACGTGACTAATGGACAGAGGATGTGTTATTTTAGTGCCAAGAATGTCTACATTGTTTATTCTGAACCCTGTTTTGAAATTGGCATCTTTTTTAATTTGCATGAAATTGGCCAAATTGCCAATTTCTGACCACTTTATTGGGTAGTTCAAATCGGTAAATGGGCGGTTTCTTGTACTCAACTGATAGATAAAATTGAGTTCTAAAGAAATAGCTATGAATTTGGTCAACTGAATTGGCCATAAACAGGGCTCAAAATTGGCAAAATCGCCGATGCGTATATGTCGCCGAGACTACTAACTTCGTGGGAGCCTAATTCCATGAGTTTTCGACCAAATTTCGTACTTTTGGTGTCATTACCGTTGGGAAAAGATTCTCTATCATTTCATAAGAAATTTTTTTTTTTCCAAAAATTTATCGACAGAATGACAGTTTCAGAAAGGGGCCTGCGACAGTCAAAGGGTTAAACTGTAACCAATGTACTAGTGCACAGGTGACAAGGATATGTCCAATGAACTAGAATGCACAATATTTTTGTCCTTGACTCCGTTGTATGGGTCTCCTACAACCTCTTCATGAATTTGAAAAAAATCTAAGACCAGGTGAGTCCATGCAGTGCATCATGGGTAACACTGCCTAACTATTATAGATATATAATGAAGGGAGGGCCTTTGGAACTGTCAGGAAGATGCTTCATTCATTCAGAATTTATTACAATTCATGGTACTAACAGTGGAATTCGGCCCCAAAAAAAGCACACTGTAACTTTAATCTAGGATAACCCAATATAGTCAAATGATATAATTCCATATTATGATGAGGATTACACCTTGAAATTAAGCAGTTGCAGTTTTATTAAATTTTCTTGGGTGTGTTAACGACACACAAATTTCATTATGTTTATATAACACAGGATATTCCCTCAACCCTAAAATATTATTTTGTTTTATTAACACATCGGCCGTTACCCACCATGGCAGGGTAACCTGAAAAATAAGAAACACTTTCATCATCATTCACTCCAACACTGTCTTGCCAGAGATGTGCCTACACTCCCTCAGAGTGCAGGCACTGTGCTTCCTATCTCCAGCGCTCAAGTCCGGCCTGCCGGTTTCCCTGAATCCCTTCATAAATATTACATTGTTCACACTCCAGCAGCACATCAAGTCATAAAAACCATTTGTCTCCACTCACTCCTATCTAACACGCTCATGCATGCTTGCTGGAAGTCCAAGTCCCTTGTCCACAAAACCTCCTTTACCCCCTCCCTCCAGCCTTTCCTAGGCCTACTGACCCCTGTCTCGCCTTTCTTCCACTGCAGATTTATACACACTCCAAGTCATTCTATTTTGCTCCATCTTCTATAAATGTCCGAACCATTTCAACAACCCCTCCTCAGCCTTCTGAATAATACTTTTAATAACCCCACACCTCTTCCTAATTTCCAAACTATGCACATTGCCCTCAGACATGGTATCTCTATTGCCTCCAGCCTTCTCCTTGTTGCAACATTCACCACCCATGCTTCACAACCATATAAAAGTGTCGGTATAACTGAACTCTCATACATTTCCCTCTGCTTTCTCATACAGTTCCCTCTTTGTCTCCACAGACTCCTCAGTGCACCACTCACCTTTTCCCCATCATCAATTCTGTGATTCACTTCATCTTTCATAGACCCATCTGCTGACAAGTCCACTCCCAAATATCTGAATATATTCACTTCCTCCATACTCCCTCCCTCCGATCTGATATCGAATCTTTCATTACCTAAATTTTTTGTTATCCTCATCACCTTACTCTTTCCTATGTTCACCACTTTTAATTTCCCCCTTCTACATACCCTTTCAGACTCTTCCACCAACTCTATGAAACTTTTCTTCAGAATCTCCCAAAAGCACAGTGTCATCAGCAAAAAGCATCTGTGATAATTCCACTTTGTGTTAGATTCCTTATCACTTAACCCTGCGACCCTGCTCGCAAACTTGCTCTCAGGGACAAAGAATTTTCAACAACAAAAAATTTATCTTATGAAATGACAGAGAATCTTTTTTTGAAGGTAATGAAACCAAAAGTATGAAATTTGATGGAAAACATACAAAATTAGGCTCTCACAGAGTTAGCTCCTGGGGATATTTATACCAGCAATTTTGCCCACTTTACTCTCTGTTTTTGGCCAGTTCGAAAAAATGGCATGGAATGTGAAAATTGGCATGGTTGTGTTTGTTTGGCACCCGATTATGTGTTCGTGACCAGATGCAAAAATTAGGCAAATTTTTTGGTTGTGAACTGATTTGTTCGTGTTCCGAAGCATTTGTGACCAAAGGTTCCACTGTATATAGATTTTTTAAATCCCTGCATTGTCAGTGCTTTTAACCCTTAAATGGTCCAAACGTATATACTATACGTTTTCTTTGTCATTCATTCAACATTGCCACAATAAGCCTGAGTCACCTAGACATGAGAGAATGGGTGTGTGCACTCACTGTGTTCCATATTAAAATAATTGGGGATGCCTGGGTACCATATGCTCTTTTTTCCTTTTAAAAGAAAAGATTTCTTTTTTCCTCAAAAAATTTGGGGCGCTACGCGAGTGAACGTATATGTACGTTTGGACCGTTTAAGGGTTAATTTTGGGGGTCCTGCCAGTTAAAGGTAAAAAAAAAAAAAAAAAAAAAAAAAAGTAAAAGGTATATGTAGGGTATGTAAGAAAGGAGACTGTTTACCAGTAAGAGTAAGTCTTAGACAATGGTTATAATGTCACAGTTACTTAATGTGTTGTAGAGGATGAAATGAGAAATGAAGATGTGATCTTTAAAGATAAATACACCTACCATCCGACTTACGACCTGCTCGACTTACGACCACTCGACTTACGACCGTGTTTTTTATGCCAAATTTCTGGGAAATAAACAACTATTTGTGTTGTACACAGTGTTTATCCTAAACCTTACAGTATAAAATACAGTGCTAACAACATAAAAAGTAAAGTAAAACATGGAATACCATAATAAAACAATAAAATAGTCATTACAAAAACGCTTTGTTGATATTCAGTAGTAAAGCTCGACTTACGACCATTTCGACTTACGACCGGTTTCTCGGAACCGAACTCGGTCGTAAGTTGGATGGTAGGTGTATTCATATAAATACAGCCTCTCTTCACTTAACTACAGAGTTCCATTCCTAAGACCATGTTGGTAAACGAATTCGTTGATAAGTGAGGAGCATACATACTATAATAGTAGTGGGTTTGTTTCAACCATCTTTGATATTGTTTTAATGTCACCTTTGCACCATTTATAAAATTTTTGGTATATTTTTAAATGTTTATAGAGCAGTGTACTGTATATTGTAATAAACAGAATAGAGGGAATCAGCTCTAATATGCATTATTTAAGTATGCATACTGGTCAGAGAGCCCGTCGTAAGTCCGAGTCGTCGGTAAACAAGTACGTTGCTAAGTGAGGAGAGGCTGTATTCTGATACAAAGTGGGAGTTGTAGATGACTCAGTGCTATTAAGAAATTTGACAGAGAAGCTACAGAGGTTGGTAAAAGAGTTTGGAAGGGTTTGCAAGAGAGGAAATATGACATTAAATAAAAAAGGAGCAATGTGATGAGAATGAGTGCTGCATTTGTTACAATATGCTATATATTTTTTTAGTAAAATAAAAATTTAATGTTTTCAAAACTTTTTGTGCAGGTTGTGGATGCAAGAGCTGGGCCAGGTACCAAATCTCTCACAAAATTTAAGAGTAAGAAGTTAAAAAAGAATCTAGGAAATCCAGATAAACCACTTAAAGAGAAGATAAAAAAGAAACATAGGTAAGTTTTCAAATATTCTATTTCTTGACTTTCTTTTTCTGTTGAGTAACTGAAGGGGGCCATGTTCATCCTATATACTTTTTTTTTTTTTATTTTACTATGCCACGGGGAAATTGCTCAACTTGTAGGGGGTCATACAATCTTTGAGGAATGGGCACATACCTCCAGTTCTTTGGATCAGTTGCCTTCAGCATCAGAACATCACCTTCCTTTCATTTTTGCAAATATCACTTATGTTATATTCCATCTTTATATTCTCCTATCATATTAATTTTGCTCATACTTTTCCCAGATATTTTGTCATAATTCAGAAATCATACATTAGCAACCTATTGTAATCTTGCTAAAATTAATGTTCAGTAGATCATCGATTAACACGGTAATTATGTTCCTGAAAACTCGTCAGACAAAATCATGTTATACAAACTGAAAAACTTTTAGGGAAAATAGGGTTACATTCCTGGCACCCATAAAAAATGGCAAACAAACTTTTTTTTTTCTTGAGGTCTCCAGGTCGTAAAAAAAATGATGTATGTGTAATTCATTGTCGTGATGTGTTATGTTTAAAACCCTTTGAGGGTCCAAGCCATAGATCTATGTCGTGAGCTCAGCTCACTCAGATAGGTGGTGAGCAATAAATTTGGGCCTAGATATGAGAGAATGCATCTGTGTGGTAAGTGTGCACCATACAAAACAAATCCTGCAGCACACAGTGCATAACGAGAGAAAAAAAATGCGACCGTGTTCTTGGATTAAAACACTGACTTTGCAGTGCATTTTCGTATGTTTTTTACGGTTGTATTCGTGGTTTCTTGGTCTCATCTGATAGAAGGGAAGATATATTACAGAAATGGAGATGATTTTGATTGGTTTTAGTACTGAAAATAGCTTGAAATTGAGCTCAGAGTAGCAGAAATGGTTGATTTTTGCTGATGTTCAAGAGTAAACAAATGGCATCACGCATCCAATGCATGTCAACTGTTGGGTTTAATATACGTTCACGAATGTGCTGATATTATTTATACAGTTATTACAATATTGCATAACAGTAAATTTTCTATTTTTTGGTGTGAATAAAAATTCTTTATGTAAATAAAAAATCAAAATGGAATTCATCTGTAAAACCTAGAAACATAACAGAGGAAATGTTATTTTAGTGCCAGGAATGCCTGCATTGTTTAATCTGGACCCTGTTTTGAATTGGAATATTTTGAACTTTGTGTGAAATTGGCCAAATTATCAATTCTGATCACTATTGGGTTGTTGAAATAGTTGATTGGGCAGTTTCTTGTGCTCAGTTGATAAAATAGATGTAATACTAGCGAAATAGCTAAGAATTCAGTCGACTGCAATGATGTAATTGGCTTAAAATAGGAGTCAAGTGGGCAAAATCGCTGATGCAGTAAAATTTGCTAGTATAATTTTATCAATTTTCCATCAGATTTCATAATTTTTTTTTATTCTTTTCGGAAAAAGATTCTCCACCATTTCATAAGAAAAAATAATTTTTTTAAAATTCTTGGACCCTCAAAGGGTTAATGCATTGTTTAAGGAAACAGATGTTACAGAAATCATATTTCTTACCTTATATTGTGGTTTTTGGTATATGTCTAATTCTGAACAGAGTGAAGAGGGATGCAGTGGCCATACTGGGCTAAGGTGGAAAGTTTTAGTTTGTTTGCTGAGGTGGATGGTTGAGGCTTTGGTGCTGAAGTCATTGGTTGTACATACTGGAGTAATCAGAGATTCTGTACAATATGTATGCAAAAATATGACAGGCTATCTATCACGTGCATATATTAATAAAAAAAAATACTGTATTTTACCAGCTAAGACAATTTTTTACTAAATATATGTGTCCAGTGTAATACCTACCATAATATATATGCAAGCTATCCAAGAAAACAATATGATCATGAGAAAACCTTTGCAAGGCTATCAGCATGTATTGTTATTGTTGGGTTGAAGGTTGTGACAGCCAGAGGGCCCTTGTATCTCACTGCTGTGAAATTAACTACCCAAATGCTTTTGCAAATGTAAACTATTTATTACATATTAATAAATTTATTACAGTAAAGGAATATTAAAAAAAATATCACTTCTCATGCATTTTCAACAATAAAAATATCAGGAAGGGTGGGTGGGTGTTATGCTCATGAGGTGTTAACCCTTAACTCCTTTCAGGGTTGAGACCCCTTCGAGTGTCGCAACCCCAAATCCTGAGGTGTCTCCTGGTGTCGCAAAATATTTGGAAAAAAAAAAAATATATGAAATGATAGAGAATCTTTTCCCGATGGTAATGACACCAAAAGTATGAAATTTGATGGAAAACTTATGGAATTACGCTCTTGCAAAGTTAGCGGCCTCATCAATATTTATGAATCGGCGATTTCACCCACTTTGAACCCTATTTTCGGCTAATTCCATTGTTTCAGTCCACCAAACTCATAGCTATTTGTTGAGAACTCCATTTGTTCTTTTGATTGAGTACAAGAAACTGCCCATTTACCAATTTCAACTACCCAATAAAGTGGTCAGAAATTGGCAATTTGGCCAATTTTATGTAAATTAAAAAATATGCCAATTTCATAACAGAGTCCAGAATGAACAATGCAGACATTCCTGGCTCTAAAATAACATTTTCTTTGTTCATCAGTCACGTCTCCAGGCCCCTCTGACATTACTCTTGCTTTCTATTTTGTATTTTTATTCAAACAAAAAATAGAAGATTTACTGTTATGCAGACTACTGCAATATTGTAATAATTGTATAAATAATGTCACCTCATTCACGACTGTATATTAGAATGGCTAGTTGGACATTTATTGGACAATAATATCATTTGTTTACTCTTGAACATCGGCAAAAATCAAACATTTCCCTTACTTTGAGCTCCATTTGAAGGTCCTTTTCATAGTAAAACCAATCAAAATCACATCCACTTCTATAATATGTTTTCCATTCTATCAGATACGACTACGAAAACTAGAATGTAACCATAAAAACTATACAAAAATACACCTCTAAGTTGGGATTTTATTCCAAAAACACAGTCAGATTTTTTTCTCATTATGCACTGCTTGCTGCAGGATTTTTTTTTATACTGCACACAGACCCATTCTCTCAGGTGGGCCTACCAGCTTTCTTCTGCTTTATTTGATGCCGCTAGAATTTTTGAGTATGTACAGTGGACCCTCGGGTAACGGCAGCATCGGCTAACGCCAAAATCGGATAGCGGCATGTTTTTGCGTCAGAATATTGGCTTGGCTAACTCCCAAGAACTCAGTTAAGGGCATTCGTCCCGAAAGTGTCCACGCGGCCTGAGCCCATGTACATGTAGTGTGCCATTATTTACAAGCTAGGGAGGACGATTCCTCGCGTACATGCGATATATTTTGTATTATTCCATTGTTTTTAGTGCTTGTAACTGCTAAATAAGTCACCATGGGCCCAAAGAAAGCTTCTAGTGCCAGCCCTGTGATAAAGAAGGAAAGAAGCACAATAGAATTCAAGAAAAAACTTGTAGCAAAGTACCAAGGTGGAGGAGGAAGAGAGAGGGGTGAATGTGCCTTCTGCAGTGATTCAGTAGATTCTACGATATGTACAATACTAAAGCAGCAGGTATCAATAAAGGCTATAGTGCCAGCCAGCGATAAAGTGTAGAATTAACAGTGTAGCAAGTAAGTTAAGGAAGTAAGCGATAGAAAAACGACACAAAAGTAACTCCAATGTTGTTGGATGTGCATCGGGCCAGTGAACATCTCCTTGGAGGAGATGTTAGTTTAATTAGTTAGTTTGATGGAGGAGATGCTGGCAGAGGTTTAGGGTGGTGGAAGATATGTAGCATGCCGGCGTATGTTCATTGGCCCTATACACATCCAACAACATTGGAGAGTTACTTTCGTGTCGTTTTTCTATCGCTTACTCGCTTAACTTACTTGCTACACTGTTAATTCTACACTCTATTGCTGGCTGGCACTATAGCCTTTATCGAAACGTGTTGCTTTAGTATCGTACATATCGTAGAATCACTGAATCACTGCAGAAGGCACATTCTTTCCTCTCTCTTCCTCCTTCACTTTGGTACTTTGCTACGAGTTTTTTCTTGAATTTTGTTGTTTCTTTCCTTCTTTATCACAGGGCTGGTACTAGAAACTTTCTTTAGGCCCATGGTGGCTTATTTAGCAATTACAAGCACTAAAAACAATGGAATACTACAAAATATATCGCATGTACGTTTGGAATCGTCTTCCCTGACTTGTAAACAATGGCACACTGGCTTTACATGGGCTCATGCTTTACGGACACATTTGGGACGAATGTCCTTAACTGAGTTTTTCATCATTAGCCGAGCCAGTATTTTGACGCAAAAACGCATTGGTATCCGATTTTATCACTATCTGACAGCATCGTTAACTGAGGGTTCACTGTACTGTCATTACACCCTACATTATATCTTGTATATTTATTTATCCTCTTTTTCTTAAAATATGTATTACCAATAACTAAACTCTTTTCTATATAAAGTTCAATCAAAGGGCTCCCATTATCATTTACACCTGGCACCCCAAACTTACTACCACACCCTCTCTAAAATGTTTCTCCTACTTTAGCATTTAGGTCCCCTACCGCAATTACTCTCTCACTTTGTTCAAACGTTCCTATACATTCGCTTTTAACATCTCCCAAAATCTCTCTCTCTCTCCTCTACACACCTCTCTTCTCCAGGTGCATACACGCTTATTATGACCCATCTTTCGCATCCAACCCTCATTTCAATCCACATAATCCTTGAATTTACACATTTATATTCCCTCTTCTCCTTCCATAACTGATCCTTCAGCATTATTGCTACCCCTTTCTTAGCTCTAACACTCTCAAATACTCCTGACTTAATCCCATTTATTTCTTCCCACTGAAACTCGCCTACCCCCTTCAGCTTTGTTTCGCTTAAGGCCAGGACATCCAACTTCTTTTCATTCATAACATCAGCAATCATC